TGTTGAGGTTACCTCACTGTAGATGAAGAAAGTCGTCTAATGATGGTGTATCCAATGCTACATTTTCACCACTAGTGGTTCGACTCGATGCCGGGACCGCCTCGGCAGATGGGAGGTCGCGGATGGGGAACTTGTGTCGTTCTCTCAAATAAAAGCCGTGACGGACTGGCATACTGTGGAGATCGCGGGCTGGCTACACACGAACCGACGCCGACCTACATCGCCTATTCAAAAATGGAATGCCCTTCGCTCTTGTCATCCCGCCTCGGCACCACCCCAACCTCCAAGCATCCCAATTAGCATTTCGCTGCCGAACGGCTATAAAGTAGATTCCGTTCCGAAAACGTCTCAAGATCTCACCGATAACCAGACCATTCCAGCTGTCAGAAACTTCATATGACCCTATAAATCATCTCGCTATACATACCCAACCCTGGACCCCAGCACAGCGTCCTCTATTCATCCAGCCGCTTAACATCTACAGACGCTTTTATTGGAATACTACTTTATTTGGAGTCGCTTCGTTTTCTTAGAAAATCATCATAACATAGCAATTCAGATATCGTACTTTATACGTTCAAACCCTAGTTTAGATCGCCCTAATCCGTCCTACACCGTCACTTAGATCGGACTCTCATGGAAAGGACTCTTGTGTGGTAACTTTCCGTCTGAACTATGGTGTCGTATAAATACTCGGTTGACTCTAGAGTAAGCTCGTCTTCCTTCAGACTTCTTGAGCCCTCATCTTCAAACGATCTCACTCTCCAGATACCCCAAAAGAACCTCTTACATCCTTACTCTAGCTACTACGACTTCTACCCGACGATCCGACATTCCCGCATCTTCGCAATTCCTGTCAGCAATCTTCGCTCGCTTTTCTTCCCTTTTACTCGGACTCGATTTGAAGCCTCGTGAAGGCGCAGCCCCCCACTCTGTTCGTTGAACCGCCGCCAACGCCTCTTCACTTCAATCAAAAAGGTCAGACGCTCTCTGGAATTTCTTTGAGGATTTGCCAATGGTCAATGATATAGAACCACCACTGTTGTTCGCTGTTACAAGTACGGTTGCAATGAAAATGGTATGATTAATTCGAATCAACCTGATTGCTGTTGAGCTAAATTGGATCATGTCATTCACTTCATCTAGCTTTTATTGGAGGCCCAGTTGCCAGCACTGGTGGGATAGCAAGACCAAGAAATCAATATCGTCAAGTCAATCTGATGACTTAATTAGCTTTGGTGTGAACCAAGTACATCCTCTTGAGCGCCAGAACCACCTAGTACTGATGCATCAAACCCAGGTTTTAACATCCAATGATATAAAAACGCAGCAAGATACCTGGTCGCCAGCTCACGTGCCTGCTGCTATCTAGCCAGAATGATGAGATTCGACAAGGTTGAAAGATTCTTACTGCTGCATGAACTTGGACGTCAAAGATTCCGTGGTTGGCACTGAAATACGGTGCAGACGGTACCCACGCTCTCACCACAATCAATGATCGACGTACGTCGAAAACCTTTCACCTGGTCTATTATAGGTCACGAACAGAGCTACGATGGGAACATTCTGACACTTATACCCTGATAGCTATCTCGGCTGTGTGCTAAGCACAAGGACCTTCGGGACAAGTTCTATTTTCGAGGCAGTTCTTTGGCCCAACCTAGTGGCACCTACCTGGCACAAATCTGCCCTGTTGCCCCGTAATGTCAAAGCAAAGGCTACAAAAAGCACAGTCTATTACAGTGGACAGACGGAATCATACGAATGTCCCCGCTCTCAACCATCACCCTCTGCGTTTTGCTCGTATTATTTCCGACCGCCTTAGTAGGTGGTCCTGCTCCAGGAGGTGGGGCCCAAACCACTTCCGGCGCCCATAAGCTGGGTGGCCAGATTGCTCTGGCAAGGCCGTTGCGGATTGGCCTTGCAAAAAATGCAATTCATGGGCGGGAACATACTATTATTGAAGGTCTGCTCCAGGCCCGACAATTTTGTCAGTCTGGTTTTGGTGTCTGTGATAATAATCCTGGGATTTGCTGCCCCCTTGGCGGTCGTTGTTGCTCAAGTTCGGTTCTCTGTTCTTCGTATCATACCAGGGGCTAATCCACTGTTCAGCGTACTGTTGTGATGCAGGTTCCTTCTGCTATTCGACAGGTAAGTTATCCTAATCTAATCTAGCCAATACAATTAACCCCCTAACTTCAATAATTTTATTCTGTTAGGTTGTTGCCAAAACAACGAAGAAGGCTGCGCAAACCTCGGTTGCTGTCCATCTGGGTGGAACTGTTGCAGAGGTTAGCGTGTCATGACTTCCGCCGTCCGGAAGGCGATCCCTGACGATATATGCTCTCTTGCAGACGGTAGTTGCTGTGAACCAAGCGATAACTGTGTTATTGTCGATGGCGTGCAAGGCTGTTGCCCGAAAGGGGAAACCTGCACGAGTATCATCGACTTTACAACAACTGAGGCCGGGCGCACCACCAGTAAGCGGCTTCACGAATATTATCCGTTGTCCGCGGTACCCCCTAACTGATAAAACATCTAAGGCCACACAATGGAATTACCGCCGCCCCCGACAAAGCCGCCACCAACGCCTTCGACAAAATCATCACCAACGCCTTCGACAAAGTCATCGCCAACGCCTTCGACACAGTCGTTGCCACCACCCCCGGCCTCGACCCCTCTTCCGACGTCACGCCCAACTGCAGATTCTGGTCAAATTATCGTTACTTACCAGGCCAGTGACAGCAGAATCAACTGGGGCGGAACCTGGGACGTGGCTACCGCAAATTGTACTAGCGGCACCTCTAGGCGTGCAGAAGTCATTGGTCAATGGTTTACGCTCATCGTTCCTTCTGGTAGGTTACCTACAGCAGGTTATATGTGTATCTGTGTTCTGAAGGAGTGCTTTCGCAGCTTCGAAGATTTACTTTAACCTCATCTCCGTGAACGTTGTTTACGATGTCTTTATCAATGGCGCACAATCAAGCTTTTCAGCTGATGGATCCAGAAGCTCTGAGATCTGCACTTACCAGGAAACGTCCTCACTAGGTGGTATCCTAACGAGTGTTAATGCCACTGTTGTAATCACCGGATTGGCGGGCTCTAGTTCGAAGAGGCAAAACCAGAACTGGGTATTCCAGTTGAACGAAATCCTGTAAGTCGTCATGTTTTCTCTCGTATATGAATCAATTATGATATTATTCCAGTGCATCCGCCAATTCTTCGTCCCCCACTCCGTCTCCTTCACTATCGGGTTTAGGCGGGTCGAGCAGCGGCGCATCGGGACCGATTGGGATGATGGAGTTCCAAGGTTTCGCTGCTATCCTCTTAATTATATTCAGCTTTGCGCTATGGTAATGTATGTGGGCTTCGTAGCTGTCCAGGATGTGATTCATAGTGGCTCCGATCGCTTAGTATCCTCGGCTCGAATGTTGCTCCACAACATAGCAGGCAGATTAACCAAGATACAGACAATCGTTCCTTTGTTGACAATTCCCGAGAGATGTAATTTACGATGTACTATGGAGAATTAGGTTCTATGGCTTCCTGATCTGCCCGAGGCGCTCCCCCACACCAAAATGGATGAAAAATACCTGAAGGTATGCCAGAATAGCGGCCTTTGCAGTCCCTCCATATGCTCGGCCCCTCAGCTGTGATTACTTGCACAATGTTGTGATTATAAGTTGGTACATTGAAACAAGGGCGGCGCGTTGATGGGCCAAACCACTCACTGTCCACAACGCACCGGCGGAAGCCCTGTTAATGGGTTTCAAGCCCAGGGGATGGGTGGCAGATAAATCGTAGTTTTGTATGAAGATTCCAGGAGGCCGTCCACGGATTATTGATAACTATTGATGGAAACTGCCAAAGCCGCTTCCCCCTCCGTACACACCGCTGGCAAGTGCTTAATATATTAACTATCCTATACAGCTCCAGATATCTCCGAGAGCAACCGCCCGCGAATACCAGATCTGTCATACCTGTAGTGTTTCAACTTGAGATCCTCCCGAGCTGTGAAAATCTGTGCGCCTAAATCCATTGGGTTGACAAGACCGCAACAACCAACATGAGCGAACGAGGATGATTTAGTTACTCATTGCACCTCACTCATAGTTCACATGGTTATAAACTATGTCCCACAGAATATTGGATAATATGGACTGCTGCTGGAATGATGGAACATCCTCTCGGGTCCTGTAGAGGTCACTGTTTGGCTACCTCTGAAAAGTAGACGCCGACCAAGCGCCTCCACTAGTGTCCCCAGGAAATCAAAAAGAGGCTTTGCGACCAGATAAGACCCCCAACACACCTCTCTGCCCCATCCATTCCCTCAACCTCAGTAAGACGTACAAAACGGATGGCCGCTCCGCGTCCCTTCGAATATACCACACTGTCTGGGTTACAAAGGATGACACTGTCCATCGAGTCAGACGGCCAATGTATGTATCAGTTATATACCAAACTTCTTTAACTAGAAAAACCCCATACTCTGTAGTCGGTGTGGTGTCACATGCGGCTCGACCTATAGTTCCTCTTCTTTTCTCTTTTATGATATTTGTGACTCGTCATATACCACGCCAGGGCTTCGTTAGAAGTCATATAAATACCGACTCATTGTGATAGTTAGTTTCTAGCCAATGAAACTCCCCATTCTTTCTATCAAAAGTAGGACTGGCGTCTCTTTGACCCTCCCCCTCTCTCTCTCATCTTTCTGACATTGTCATCCTTGTTGTCACCCTTTCTCCTTTGCTTTCACTGAGTGCTCGTGGCTCTCGAACGGACTTGTCGCTCGACTCTGAAGCTTGAAGCTTGAAGCCCCACAGGCGGTCGCGCTCGCATCTCCTCTTATTTCCTATTTTTGTTGTTGCCTAGCTAGCGGCTTTACAGTTCAACAGATCCGCCGCGCCCCAAATCGCCCGGGGCTAAAATTGTGGCCCTGATCAAATTATCCTGAAAGGGTTGGGATCAGTTCGAAAAAAACACCTTGCTCTTTTATTCATTGACAACAGTGGGATTCGAACCCACGCCCGAAGACCAGATTCAGCTTATTACGTAACCTGATTCTGGCGCCTTAGACCACTCGGCCATGTTGCCTTGTCTATTGCCGGACTAGGGAACATATCATGCTGTCTGACTACATCTCATGGTACTTTAGGTCATTCACATGGTCACTGGATCTCCCCCATTCCAACACTGACAGCCGGAAGATAAAAGAACATCAAGGCAAGAATCAAGGGTACAAAAAGCATCGATATCAGTACATAAAGCATTACGACAAGAGACACTCTGGGGTACTTATGCCTTGCTTTCTTCGAGCCGGATGATGGGGTCTATTGAATCCCAGAGGCGTATTTTTAGTTGATGTGTATGTACATGTGAGAGATAACGTGAACAGAGTGATAGATACAGACGAGCGTAGAAGTTCTTCTCTGTCCATGTCCATGGGGACAAATTCAAGAAAGGAGCGTACGAAGTACTTCTGTCCATGAGCAAAAGGCTCAAGAATAAAGAGGCTCTCAAATGCTGGCGTTCCATATGGCGTTCCGTTTTTGTTTCGTTAAGAACGGGGGAGGCGGTGAGGAGCATCATGGGAGTCGTGCTGATGTATGTGTCATGGTTAATCTTGCAAGTCCTAGCGTACGTCGTATCGATCCGCGCTTTCATTCCCAGAAAGAGGGTGTTGGAGTGAATATCATCACGAGGCAGCTTTTATTTGGCTCGCGTAGGGATACCGACTCGGCGAGAGCAATATACCAGGTTCCGCCGTGGTACCTGCCAAAAGCGATAAGATTAGAATGCCAGCACGTGGTCTGACTTTTCTAATCAGTCATTGTCAGGCGTGAGGGAAAACGTCCGCATCTTCGGTTCGCTTCTTCTTCAAAAGTTGAGGGTCCGATCAATTATATATCACCTCACACTCACACCAGAAAAAAGTTATAGTCGTCATTTGTATTCTGCATCTTCTCTTGACCTGACTTGACTCCCACTCTTTCCTACAACTAGCCCACCTGCGAAACCCGCACAAATTTTCTAAACCAACAAACGTCACATCTCGACGCCTAACATAATGCAGAGCACGGTTGTACCAACCCGCCGCCGCCGCTCTCTCGAAAACGGCGACGTCGCCAGCTTACTCGCGCGAAGCGCCCTCAAAACCCTCAACGGCTCTATCGACCCACCTCCAAGACCCAAATCCTCACCGGGGGAGCGTCCAGCCCGACGCCGGCGCCAAAAGAGTCCTATAAACAGCGGGGACGAGCAATACCCCGACGTCGTAGCTGAAACCAGCGAGGGAGAGGACGGAATGAATATCGAAGAGATAGGCGGTAATGGAACTTCAGTGGGAATTTCCATCGATCACGAGAACGTTACAAAATCCGATTTCAAAAAAAATCTTGATCTCGCCTCCTCCACCACTGCAACTGAAAAACCTGAAGTTGACGTATCTACACTGATACTCCGGAACCCAAGGCCGACACGCCCACTCCCTGCGTCTAAAGTTCGTAGAATGGCTCCAGGTTCAACACCTTCGTCCATCAACAATCCGCATAATCCTGTCGCCCCTGTTGCGAACCCGTCGATGCTGCCTGTGCAAGCGCAGGTCGCTCGCGGAGGTGCTGCTGCAACACAAAGGAGGCTGTATGTCATCCTCGAGCAGGCTTGCCTGGAGGCGTATAGGATTTCGGGGGGTGGGAGTAAAGGCAGGAATGGGAGGGAAGGGGAAGTGAAATATACATTGTTGAATTGTGATGATCATCAAGGGATTTTGGCAAAGACTGGGAGGGATATTGCGGACGCTAGACCCGATATTACACACCAGGTATGACCTTGCTCGATTTTTCCACAGGCGTGAAGGCTGACCTGGATGTAGTGCCTGCTTACGCTTCTGGACTCTCCGCTGAACAAGGCTGGGCTGCTTCAAGTCTATATCCATACCGCAAAGGGTGTCTTGATAGAGGTTAACCCCCATGTGCGGATCCCAAGGACGTTTAAACGCTTTAGTGGCTTAATGGGTGAGTGGCTTCCGCGAAAAATATGCATATAAAATCTGACATGTTGGCAAAGTGCAACTTCTCCACAAATTATATATTCGAGGCGTTAATGGGCCCGAAAAATTGCTCAAAGTCATCAAGGTATACTGCTCGGTCAACAAAACTCCCTAACACGCATGTCTCACTTCTCATGACAGAATCCTATAACTGACCATTTACCCCCTAACACAACCAAAATCAGTATGTTGCCTTTTGCCCTCGTGATTATCTGAGGTCTGACCTACGGGATATATTTTAGCCCTCTCCGGTGATGCTCCGACGAAGAGGCTATCAAAATACCTGCCGACGTTGCCGCCGACCCATAATGTTGCGGTGTTTGTGGGTGCTATGGCGCGTGGCAAGGACGACTTTGCAGATGCCTACGTGGATGAAAAAATTAGTATCAGCGACTACCCGCTGAGTGCTAGCGTTGCTTGTGGGAAAGTGCGTACCAGTCGTAGTTTTCTTTTCTTTTGGATTGCTGACATGGTCCATTAGTTCTGTTGTGCTCTCGAAGAGCTCTGGGACATTGTCTAATTCATGTCTGAAAAAAATGCTATGCTGTGCCACGATATCTCGCTCGATCGCCTTGGTTATATGTGAATGCCCCGCTCCGGACCCGCTCTCTCTTTGTTCACTGTATCCTTATCAAGTCCAGCCATCTGCACTTCAACTCGCAGAACATTCTTGTACCAATAGAGTCCTACGCATAATTTCTTGCCTACATATTACCTATATCGTACCATAAGTATCATTAAATACTTCCGTAGAGTATCCCAGTATCACCGCCTGGCAGCATGCCCGCGACTCAACTCGCGATGCTATGCGTAGCTCTGCTGGCTGGTTCTTGGTTTCCCCTCCCAGGTTATTGACACTAACGAAAAACCCCAGATATACATAATTATACCGAGGGCAGTCTGATATTACTTAAAATTGTTATCGCATATTCGATCAATCGCTAGACTACGATCATCCGAAGATCTAGATATTTTCAATCTGGAACGTCAGAATAGAACCGCCACGCCGGCCCCCTCCAGTAGATTTATTACATCAACAGCCAACAGCAGGCAAACAGCCTTGTCCATCGACTATCACATCACGCATCTGCTGTTACATATTCTTACTCTTACTTCCTGCTCTCACTTTTTACTCTGTACCCAATACTCTCACGAGTCTACGACTGAGTTATGGCCGATACAACGACACCTGTGCCACAGCCTGCTAGCGCGAGCGCACTTCCTGAAGGGATTACTGATCCTAATTATGCGCCTCCGCCGGGGCGTCTGGGGAACTTGTCGGTGCCGCAACAGCATGCGCTGGAGAAGTTGAAGAAGGAGCTGCAGGAGGAGGGTGTGTTCGTGGAGAAGAGGATGGACGATGCGACGTTGTTGAGGTACGTTGGGTTTAGTAGGGTCTTGTTTCGTTACGATTTCGCTGATGTGATTGGGATCGGGTTTTTGCTGGTTATAGGTTTTTGAGGGCGCGCAGGTTTGATGTTGCGAAGGCGAAGGAGATGTTGAAAAATGCTGAGGTGTGGAGGAAGGAGTTTGGGGTTGATGAGCTCGCCAAGTGCGTATTTGCGTCCCTTAGACGTCTTTTGGTTTTCCATATGTACGGCACTGGGGATACTGATTCCGGATTGGCATTTGTCGTAATTTTCTAGGGTTTTCGATTTCAAGGAGAAGGAAGAAGTGAACAAGTACTACCCGAAATACTATCATGGAGTAGACATAGTGCGTTATCCTTTGTCGCAGTCACAAATCGCATTGCTAACGGATCTCATCAGGACGGTCGCCCAGTCTACATCGAACAGCTCGGTAAACTCGACGTCAAGGCCCTCTACAACATCACCAGTCAAGAACGTCTCCTCCAACGCCTCGTCCTCGAATACGAGAAATCCCTCACCGAACGCTTGCCAGCCTGCTCCCATGCCGCAGGCCATCCCGTCGAAACGTTCTGCACGATCTTGGACCTCAACAATGTCTCCCTCTCCTCTTTCTACCGCGTCAAGGACTACGTCATGGCCGCCGCATCCGTCGGCCAAGATCGGTACCCGGAGACAATGGGCAAGTTCTATATCATTAATGCACCGTGGGCGTTTAGCGCGGTGTGGAGTGTGATTAAGCCGTGGTTGGATGAGGTGACGGTGAAGAAGATTGATATTTTGGGGGGTGGATATAAGGATACGTTGTTGAAGCAGATTCCGCAGGAGAGTTTGCCGAAGGAGTTTGGTGGGGTGTGTGAGTGTCAGGGTGGATGCTCGTTGAGCGATGTAGGGCCTTGGAACCCGAAGGCTCCTCAGGCTTAGGCTTGTAATTGGGCCTAGGGCGTAGGTTTAGCATTTCTGAGACTTGTTGATTCCCTCGCATAGTACGCACGGTTTATCGGTTTTGTAATACCAAACCTTTTTTTTTGTAATACGATTTTTTGAGCGCAGTTGTGGTTGTAAGAAAATATTAGATTTGGGGACGTGGGGGTCGTTAATAATTATGTACGTCGCGACAGGATATTCAAGAGATCCTCTATACCGTCTATGATGTATGAAGCAATCGAAGCACGAGGTATCCAACAGGTATCGAGATACTGTACTATGAAACCCTTTTGAAGAACCTATGTAAATTCAAGAACACCTAATAGCCCAAGAATTGTAACTCATGAAGGGGGAGCAACGAGCTTATCAGGCCCAGGAGGGATAACAAAGTTCTTCTCAGCCAAAGGCGTAGCCGTTCCACTCGAGCTCGCCTTCCCGTTCCCGTTCGCAGTTGGCCTACCAGCATCCAACACCCCAAACGACTTCTGTAGACCACGCAACCACTTTGACCCACCGATGTAGAAGAACACCAATCCGCCCACGATGACGATGTGGCCATACCACCCCAGTACTCGCCAAACGCCGATCGAGCCACTGTAAGTGGACACGATGAAGGGCGCGGCGGAGTAGTTGAGGATTGTGAGAGCGGTGATGGTGCCAACGATGTCGTATAGAGATTTGAAACTGGAGAGGGGAGAGGGGGAGAGGAAGAGGGGACGGAAGGATGCGCGTGCGAGACGGGCGGCGGAGGT